TTTTAGTAGAGACGAGATTTCACCGTGTTAGCCAGGATGGTCTCTATCTCCTGACCTCATGATCCACCCGCCTCTGCCTCCTAAAGTGCTGGGATTACAGGCGTGAGCCACCGCGCCCAGCATATTTGTAAGTGTTTTGAGGAACCCTCCAAACTGTTCGCTAGAGTTGTACTAATTTACATTCCTACCAACAGTGTACAAGGGTTCCCTTTTCTCCACCTCCAGGATTTGTTATTGCCTGACTTGTGGATAAAAGCCATTTTAACTGTGGTGAGATGATATCTCATTGTAGTTTCGATTTGCATTTCTCTGATGATCAGTGATGGTGAGCACCTTTTCATGTACCTGTTTGCCATTCCTATGGCTTCTTTTGAGAAATGTCTATCCAGATCTTTGGCCCATTTTAAAATCAGATTATTAGGTTTTCTCCTGTAGAGTTGTTTGAGCTCCTTATACATTCTGGTTATTAATCCCGTGTCAGATGGGTAGTTTGCAAATATTTTCTCCTATTCTGTGGGTTGTCTCTTCACTTTGTTGATGATTTCCTTTGCTGTGCAGAAGCTTTTTAACTTGATGTAATTCCATTTATCCATTTTTGCTTTGGTTGCCTGTGCTTGTAGGATACTATTCAAGAAATCTTTGCCCAGTTCAATGTCCTGGAGAATTTCCCCAACGTTCTCTTGGTAGTTTCATAGTCTGTGATCTTATATTTAAGTCTTTAATCTTTTTTCTTTTTCTTTTTCTGTTTTTTTGAGATGGAGTCTTACTTTGTTGCCCAGGCTGGAGCAAGGTAGTGCAGTCTCAGCTCACTACAACCTCCGTCTCCTGGGTTCAAGCGATTCTCCTGCCTCAGCCTCCTGTAGTAGCTGGAATTTACAGGCATGCACTGCCACTCCCAGCTAATTCTTGTATTTTTAGTAGAGATGGGGTTTTGCCATGTTGGCCAGGCTGGTCTGGAACTCCTGACCTCAGGTAATCTGCCCACCTTGCCTTTAATCCATTTTGATTTGATTTTTGTTGATAATGAGAGAGAGAGGTCAAATTTTACTCTTTTGCATATGGAAATTTCGTTTTCCCGGTACCATTTATCAAAGAGATTGCCCTTTCCCCGGTGGATGTTCTTGACACCTCTGTCAAAAATGAGTTCACTGTAGATGTATGGATTTATATCTGGGTTCTCTATTCTGTTTCACTGATCTCTGTATCTGTTTTTATGTCAGTACCATGTCATTTTGGTTACTAAAGCTCTGTAACATAATTTAAAGTCAGGTAATATGATTCCTCCAGTGTTGTTCTTTTTCCTTAAGATAGCTTTGGCTATTCTGGATCTTTTGAAGTTCCATATACATTTTAAAATTGTTTTTTCTATTTCTGTTGAGAATGTCATTGGTATTTTGATAGGGATTCCATTAAATCTATAGATTGCTTTGGGTAGTATGGACATTTTAATGATATTGATTTTTCCAACCCATGAACATGGAATATTTTTCCATTTTTCTGTGTCTTCTTTAGTTTCTTGCATCAACGTTTTATAGTTTTCATTGTAGAGATTTTTACTTCAAGTTAATTCCTAGATATTTAATTTGTAGCTCTCATAAATGGGATTACTTAATTGATTTCTTTTTCAGATTGCTTTCTCATAGCATATAGCAATGCTACTGATCTTTGTAATTTGAGTTTGTATCCTCCAACTTTCCTGATTTTGTTTATGAGTTCTAGCAGCTTTAGGTGGAGTCTTTAGGTTTTTTCAAATATAAGATCATATCATCTGCACACAAGAATAATTTGATTTCTTCCTTTCCAATTTAGATGCCCTTTATTTGTTACTCTTGTCTGATTGCTCTAGCTAGAACTTACAGTACTCTGTTGAATAACGGTGGTAAAAGTGGGCATCCTACGGAAAAGCTTTCAGTTTTTCCTCATTCAATATGACACTAGCCCTGGGTCTGTTATGTATGTTTTTTATTATGTTGAGATATGTTCCTTCTATACCCAGTTTTTTTTAGGGTTTTTATCATGAAGGGATGTTGAATTTTGTCAAATGTTTTTTCAGTATTAATTGAAATAATCATATGGTTTTTGTCTTTCATTCTGTTGATAAGATGTGTCACATTAATTGATTTGTGTATGTTGAGCCATCCTTGAACCCTTGGGATAAATCCCACTTGGTCATGATGAATTTTCATTTTAATGTGTTACTGCATTTAATTTGCTTGTATCTTGCTGAAGATTTTTGCATCAATAGTCATCAGTGATATTGGCCAGTAGTTTTCTTTTTTAAATGTGTCTTTGTCTGGTTTTGGTATCCGGGTAATACTGGCCTCGTAGAATGAAAGTATTTCCTACTCATCTATTGTTCAGAATAATTTGAGTAGGATTGGTATTGCTTCCTTGAATGTTTGGTAGAATTCAGCAGTGAAGCCATTGGGTCCTGGGCTTTTCCTAACTGGAAGCCTTTTTATTATGGCTTCGATTGTATTACTGTTATTGGCCTATTCAGGTTTTGGATTTCGTCATGGTTCAATCTGGGTAGGGTCTGTGTGTGTAGGAATGTATCCATTTCTTCTATATTTTCCAATTTATTGGCCTATAGTTGCTCCTGGTAGCCACTACTGGCCCTTTGACTTTCTGTGATATAATTTGTAAAGCTTCCTTTTTCATTTCTGTTTGTATTTATTTGGTTCTTCTCTCTTTTTTTCTTAGCCTGACTAAAGGTTTGTCAGTTTTGTTTATCATTTCAAAAAATATTCTTGTTTCTTAAGACAGGTCTATTTTTTAAAATGTCTGATTGTGGTAAATACACGACATAAAATTTACCATCTTAACCATGTTTTTTTTTTTTTTTTTCCAAGACATGGTCTCACTCTGTTGCCCAGGCTCGAGTCCAGTGCTGCAATCAAGGCCCAGTGAAGTCTACACCTCCTGGGCTTAATCCTCCTGCCTCAGCCTCCCGAGTAGCTGAGACTACAGGAGTCTGCCAGCACAACGGGCTGTTTTTTTAAATTTTTTGTAGAGCCAAGATCATGCTATATTGCCCGGACTAGCCTTGAACTCCTGGGTTCAGCGATCTCCCCACCTCAGCCTCCTAAAGTGTGAGTCACTGTGCCCGGCCTTAACCATTGTGAAGTGTACATTGTAGTTGCATTAAGTACATTCACACTGTGGCACAGCCATCGTCATTCTCTATCTCCAGAATTCTTTTTTTTTTTTACATTTATCAGTTTATTATAGTTTTTTGTTTTGCATTGTTTTGTTTTGTTTGAGATGGAGTTTTGTTCTTGTTGCCTAGGCTGCAGTGCAACGGCACAATCTCAACTTACTGCAACCTCTGCCTCCCAGGTTCATGCGATTCTCCTGCTTCAGCCTTCTGAGTGGCTGGGATTACAGCCACACGCCACCACGCCTGTCTAATTTTGTATTTTTAGTAGAGACAGGGTTTCTCCCTGTTGGTCAGGCTGGTCTCGAACTCCCGACCTCAGGCGATCTGCCTGCCTTGGCCTCCCAAAGTGCTGGGATGACAGGCGTGAGCCACCAAGCCCTGCCAGTTTATTATAAAGGCAAAGGATACAGATGAAGAGACGCATAGGCAGGTAATCGGGGAAGGGGCGCAGAGCTTCCATGCCCAGTGCTGCTGTGATCATAGCTGTTCAAACGTCTCCCTGGGTGCCACTCTCCAGGCACATCCCCGTGTTTAGCTACGTGAAAACTCACTGAATCCTATCTTTGGGTTTTTAGGGAAGCTTCATGACATCATTTCTTCCGCTAGATTATAGGGTGGCACCTTCTCATGGGAGGGCCTTAAGACGCACAGTCAGAAAGGCGGGAGCACATTAGCATCTCCAGTATTCTTTTCATCTTGTACAACAGTCTGTCTCCATTAAACACTCACTCCCATCCCCTCTCCCTCCAGCCTCTGGCATCCACCATTCTGCTTTCTGTCTCTATGAATTTGACTAGTCTATGTAATTCATATGTGGAATCAACAGAATTTGTCTTTTTGTGACTGGCTTATTTCACTTAACTTCATCCTCAAGGTTCAACTTAAAGGTATATCCATGTTGTAGCACGTGTCAGCATTTTCTTTCATTCTGAGGCTAAATAATATTTCAATGTGTGTGTACACCACGTTTCATGCATTCATTCTCCCTTGACAAATTGGTGGGTTGTTTCACCCTTTTTGCTTTTGTAAACAGTGCTATGGATGTGGTTGTACAAACATCCTTGGAGACCCACTAGCAGTTCCTTTGGGTATATACCCCAAAGTGGAATTGCTGGATCTGGTAACTCCCTTTTTAATTTTTTGAGGAACAACTACACAGTTTCCATAACAGCTGTACCATTTTACATTCCCAAGACCTATTTTTTTAAAAGAAGAAAATATGTGTTTCTGCATTGCTGGAAGTCCACACTGCAGTTCCATTTGTTGAAATTTAAGACCAGAGTTATCGTCATCTTTTCTGCTGTAATTATAGTGGTCACTGGCCTTTTCCTCCTCTCTCTGCCCCATCTGCATGGGGTCTTTGAACAAGTCCCAGCACCTTGGTGGACAAGCCCATGTCCCTGGCCCATCATGGAAGCCACTGCCTTCCAGAGTGGGACTCTGTACCTTGTTGCCTCATTCCTTGCTGGGCCCATCAGTGAGCTTGTGCCTAACCTCTCCTTCCAGGTGGACTTAAACACTGGGCTGTCGGAGTTCTCGGTGACGCAGCGCCGGCTGGCCCATGGCTGGAATGAGTTTGTTGCTGACAACAGTGAACCTGTGTGGAAGAAATACCTGGATCAGGTAGGACCAGAGGTGTCATTCTTTGCATTAACAAGCAGAAGCCAGGGAGGGTGGGGCAGCCATTCCATCTTTCAATGTTGGTGGAGAGCATCCTTGGACAGCTCCTGCCCCTTTCGCACCGTCCCAGCCAGCCTGAGCATCAACCATGAGCAAATCACTAACTCCCCAGGCAGCCGCGTTCAGGAAAAACAGTGATCACATTCGTAGACAGTTGAGCAGGCCCCGGGCCCCACGCTAAGTGAGTAAGTGAATAAGTAAGCATGCACTTACTAATCCTCCTCCTAATCCGGGCTTTGCACTTGAGGAAGGAGAAGTACAGAGGTTGAAAGATTTCCCCAGAGTTGCCAGGTTTCGCAAATAACAATATAGGATGCCCTACAAATTTCAATTTCAGGCTGGGCGTGGTGGCTCACGCCTGTAATCCAAGCACTTTGGGAGGCTGAGGCGGGTGGATCACTTGAGCCCAGGAGTTCAAGACCAGCCCGGCCAACATGGTGAAACCCCGTCTCTTCTAAAAATATAAAAATTAGCCGGATGTGGTAGTGCCATGCCTGTAATCCCAGCTGCTCAGGAGGCTGAGGTGGGAGGATTGTTGGAACTTGGGAGGTGGAGGCTGCAGGTGGGTGAACTGAGATTGTGCCACTGCGCTCCAGTCTGGACAACAGAGTGAGACCGTGTCTCAAACAACAACAGCAACAACAACAACAACAAAAGTGAATTTCAGATAGATAAACAAGCAACTTCTAGTATAAGTGTGTCCCAAATATTACAGTGGACATGCTTATACTAAAAAGAAAAAGTTCCTTGTTTATCTGAAATTCAGATTTAACTGGGTGTCCTATAGAATCTGTAACCTGAGCCCAAAGTCACATAGCAGCGAGGAGCAGTGCAGAGAAGTGCAGCCAGGGAGCTGCACCCAGAGGCCCTTCCTTTGCTAGCTGCTGCCATCCGTGCTGGCGCGGTGCTGAATGAAAGGCACACAGTCAAATGCCTGGAAGCCACTAAGAAGAGGAATGAGAAAACTGCAATTGACATGGCTCCAAGTTTCAGTCTAGAAGTCGGCAGCCCCCGCCACCTTTGCAGGACCAGTTCAGAAAGGCCCAGTGAACAGGCAGAATTTTCCAGGTGCCTGAGGGCATTTAGGTGGCCTTAGATCCCCTTTTCCAGGCTTTTGCATGCTCTTGGCCCCATACCTGACATCCCCTTCTTCATTCTCTGGCCCCGGGGCTTCCCCTGGCTTCAGCTGCTTTCCTATTGGCTCTGTGTTTACAGCTTCCTCCATTGGTCGATTCCGGAACCAATCACAGTCCTCCGTGCAGCATCCTCTGTCTCCACTCTCCTTGAGGTCCCTGCCCTGATTGTGGCTCGGTTCTCAGTGTTCTGGGAATGTTATTCATCGATGCGTTTTGGCACCAAAATAGGCTTCTGGGTATGCAGGTTGTTCTGGCTAGCCCAGAAGCTGCCTAAAACTGCAGAACTGAGAAGAGGCAGTGGAGGCCCCCGGAAGCTGGGGTCCAGGGAAGGAGGCTGAGTGTGGGCTGTGAGGGAGGACCTCCCCTCTGCGGCTGGAGGCCTCTTTGCTCTGCCCTGGCACCTCTTCCACTAGGACCCGCTCCCCCACTTCCCCTGGTTGTCCTCCTTCCACTCTGCCCTGTCGAAACCCACTGTGAACATCTTCCTTCGCACCAAGGATCCTCTTCCAGCATCCACCCAGGGTGTTCCTCAGAATGAAATCTCTTAAATTTCTTGAGAGCAGAGGACCTGCTCATTCATCTTATAGCTTGTCGGTTCAGCATTGTATCTGTGGGAATCCTTGTAGGACTGGACGGGAGCTCCTGACGGGCTGGGTTTTCCTGCCCTTGAGTATACAGATCCTTTCTGCACTCCCTTATTAATTCCTTACGTGTGTTGAGTTCCTCCTGCGTGCCAAATGTCGTGATTCTCCTATCTTTCCCCCAGTGACAGGGAACTCATTACCTCACAAGGCAGCCCTGTTCCTCTGCCTCAGGAGTCTCACCATTAGGAATTCTACCTTAACACGACCTAAGCCTCTGGACGGGATGGCAGGGAGGCACTAGGCTGGTGCTCTGAGGAGGTGGCGTCTGGGCAGAGACCTGAGTGAAATGAGAAGAGAAGCAGAGTGAGGATGTGGATGGAGGACGTTGCTGGAGGGCAGGGTGCAGTGGTCCTGAAGCGCCAGGAGCTTGGCAGCCTGAGAATTAAGGTGCCCAGACCTGGTGCATTATTATTACTTTTTTTCTGAGATAGGGTTTCTTTGCTGTCCAAGCAGGAGTGCAGTGGCACACCACGGTTCACTGCAGCCTCAATTTCTCAGGCCCAAGTGATCCTCCTGCCTTAGCCTTCTGATTAGCTGGGACCACAGGTGCACGTCACCATGCCCAGCTAACTTTTTCATTTTCTTTTTGTAAAGATGGGATTTTGCTGTGTTTCCCAGGCTGGATTGAAACTCCTGGGCTCAAGCAATCCTCCCATTTCAGCCTCCCAAAGGGCTGGGATTACAGTGTGAGCCCCTGCGCCCAGCCCTTGTTGCTAGTTGAACTCTCTTCCTCATCCTGATCTGTGGTCTGCCTTCTGAATCCGGTTTGATGTGTTTGCATTTCTTTTCAATCCTCTGGAACATGAGCTACCATGAGATGTCTCTGCAATGAAAGGGCAGATATATAAAAAAGTAAAAATAAAATATAAAAAAAAAGTAAAAATACTATCAGGAAGTTTTGGGAACAGCTGTTTTAAAGAGGGACATCATTGGAGTCCCTAGAGGCTGTGACAGGAGCAGGTTGGCACCAAGTTTGGTGACTGGGATGTGCAGCATTTGGGGAGCTGGTGTGGTGAGAGAGGACCCTTGGCTGTTCTGAGCCAGGACTGGCATCTTGCTGAAGGTCTGGCCTGGAGTGTCATGGAGATGTGGAGAGGCAAGGCCAAGAACTCAAAGGCAGGGCCAAGGCCGGTGTCTTCAGGGCGTCAGTGTCAGGACGACTCGGGGAGGGTCAGTGGGGTGGAGTTCCAGGCAGAGGAGGACCACTTCATGGGGTGGTCTCCTCAGCCCTCGGTCACCATGGTGTTGACCTGGAAGCCTGGCCTTGAACTGAGATCCCTGTCACACAAGCTTCTGCACAGTAAGAAACCCATTCTGGTCCCTGAGACTAAAGAACGTGCCCCACCCTGTTATTTCCTCTTCAGTTTAAGAACCCCCTGATCCTGCTGCTACTGGGCTCTGCCCTGGTGAGTGTCCTCACCAAGGAGTATGAGGATGCCGTCAGCATCGCTATGGTGAGTTCCCTGACAGTGCTTGGCTCCTGGGCGGGCAGCCACAGGTCTGCTGAGTCTCTGCTTGTAACTATATACAAAGAAAAAAAACAGTTTGCTGTAGGCATGGGGGAAAGGAACGTACAGAAGAAACAAAGGAAAGCAAATCCACGTCCTTCCTTACCCTAATATCAAGGTGCCCTGGTTTATTCGGCCGCTGCTTGCTTGGTGGACACACAGGTGCTTCTGGGTCTTTGCTAGAGCAGTGTTGCAGGGAATTCCTTTCCCATGACCCTGGGATGGGGGGAATAGAGCCTGGGCTGTGCATCTTTGCCTTCCGAAGAACAACACCCTTGATCCATAACCCAGAGATAACCACTGAGCACTCATTTTTTTTTTTTTATTTAGATGAAATTCACATAATAAAATATTGACTATTTCACAGTGAACAATTCAGTGGAATTGAGTACATTCATGACATGTTGCAACCACCGCCTCTGCCTAGTTCCAAAACATTTTCATCACCCCAGAAGGAAACCCTGTGCTCACCAGACACTCACTTCCTGTC